CGGCAAGAGAGCCGGAGCAGGATCAGCACGGGGGGCGGGAGCGCGATCAGCACGGGGAGCGGGAGCAGGAGCGGCACGAGAGCGGACTCAGCACGGATAGCACGCGCCTGAATACGGCGTCCACCTGGTCGTCCTCCTTCGCAGCCCAGAACTCTCGTTCTGCACAATGTGAGGCAACGTACGATTGCAGGGCGCACCCTCCACACGCATGCGCGCCGCCGCACCACCGCGCTTTCACCGCAGCAGAACTCATGGACGCCGCCCGCCCCTGCGTGACCGTGAATTCGCTGCTGCGGACATCGAATGGACGCGCTCGAGCGGGATGGGCCGCCGCCTGGTGGATAGCGATACCGGATGCAGAGGGATGGATGCGTGCGTTGTCACCGCCCAGGGTCTCCGTGTACAATGAATAATACATAGTCGGGCTGCAGCGCAGCGGCTGTTTCGGACGTCGACTGGGGTATTCGTTCTGCGGGGCGACATGGGCAGAGAGCGGAGAATGGGGGGGGGGATCGATATGATGCGCCAGGAGCTCGCTAGAGACCATCCAGAGCTCGTGGAGCGGAGGGAGCGCGTCACGGCGGAGGAGAGCGGCCGCGTTATGTGGGAGGCGACATCGACCTCGTCCTTCTTCCCGAGATGTGTCGTGCTCAGGCTGGAAGAACGCTCTGGGGTATTCGTTTGGGAGGTCGAGGAGAGAGCTAGAGCTGCGCGGGTGTACGCGGCCGGCGGTGACGTGCGACAGGAGAGCATCGCCGAATATGCGGAGCTCAGGGAGGATGCGAAGCTCAGCGAGGGAGAGCGCGCGGAGATCTGGGAGGATGCTTGGCTTCCAGCTCGTCAAGTCGAGGAACCGCGACCTTGGCGTCCTGCACAAGACGCGGGAGGACCGCGTGCGCTTCGTCGAGGAGATGGTCCCGCCCATCCGCCGAGAATGGTAGCGTCGCGCCGTACGCGGAGGGCTAAGCACCTCGGTGGATGCAAGGACGGCGGCGAATATGAGTATGGAAGAGCGTCGAGTAACGTCCTGTAGGCTGCGTGTGGAGTGGCGTGGCTTGCTATCCGCGAGTAAGCGTATGTACGCCGAATATACAGAACAAGCGCGACTTGCCAGTTGGCTGGGTGCATGGTATGGTACCCGTATGAATAGAGTGGCGAAGAACGGTCTGCCTCTGTCCATGAAGTCGATCAGCGGACTGGGACGCAAAAGGAGAGAGGAGAACGCACAACGTTGCCCGGTCCGCGATAGCCTCTCAACCCAAGGCAGTGTGGACGCAGCTCTTCATCCAGGATCTAGGCAGCATTACGCCGCACAACTCTTGAGACCCTCAGCGACGGGAACAATCATAAAGACAAAGAATGAGTGCGTCGATGCACTACAGGAGCGGTTAAGCAATCAATGCGGCATGACATTGATACATGCAAAAGCAGGTTTGATGAGAACTGCCTTTTTCGGTCATGCTAACATTCGGATACACATTGCCATTTGGTTCAATTTTTTCAGTGCAATGGAAGAACAAAGACGAAGGGGGAAAACCCGTTCAACATGATCGTAGGTCCTTGGCAGGAATTGGAAAAAAAAAATCCTCAAAACTTTTACTAACGGCTCGCTCAAGGGGGTGTCAAAACACGGAATTTCCACTTATGGTCCCTATCTGGGCTATTTGGGGGCCGGGGTGTCGAATATGCCTGGATACGTAAGTATCTGGGTCTTACAGACAGTCATTTTGCCATATAAGGAGATTCTGTCAAAAAAGTGACATGGCTAAACGTTTAGCCGTACACTTTGAGGGACAATTGAGTGATGTTTGAGGCTGTGCTCGACTTGGTGCTTGTAATGATAGCCGACCACTTTGAGGGACAATGGAGTGACATTTGAGGCTGTGCTCGACTTGGTACTTAGTGGTGTTGCTTGGTCATGTTTGGTCGCGAATGGCTTGTACCTCAACTATCATTTGTTCTCTTCTACGAAAACTTATCCATGCGGTAGCAAATGTGCCGAAATATGGGTCACAAAAAATACTGCGGGGTCATTTGTTCTTTTCTATGAAAAGGGCCCGGAAATTGATGAGTGCTTTGTTATGATTGCGAGCATATCTCTTCTTTCGCTCTCATCATGGCTACTCTGTCTCTGAACATTTGCAACATCCAACCCCAGAGTCCCGAACACCTCCAGGGCAAAGTCTTACCTGCGTGCGCGAAAGCCATTCCCACACACGCTACAGGCAAATTCAGCACCGATCAGTTATCATCGATAACCACCCCCAAACATAATGTGACACAGGCTTCATGTAAGTTCTGACTGTCTTAGTACTTCGAAACTAATGTAGTCGTTATAAGCTGGAGGAGAAGTTGCATCCGGGACATCGACTACCATTCTGGAAGACAGTGTAGGGGTGTTACAGGACTTTCAGCCACGGCCAGCTGCCAAACAAGAGCGTTCTCTTGTTGAGCACGCGGTAAAGCCCATGTTGGCGCACATTCTCCGGTTTTTGGTTGACGAGATTCACAAAACAGAAGTGGATGAAGTCCCCGGCCATGTTTCAGATGCCAGTAACAGAATCCGCCAACAGTTTCAGTCTACACTTGAGACATTGCTTTCCCGAGAGGCCACTCCTTACGGTAGGTACATGGTTAAATTGACGGGACTTCGAAGCTAAATGGGTTGTGAGACAGGCTTCGAATTCAACGTAAACACCGAAACTCCCCGGTCATCCCATCTTTTCCACACCGCGACTGAAGCGCCTCGAACAAGAACAGTAATAGAGCACCTTGATTTCAGCAACCGCCTACTTGTGCAAGTATTCAAGGCAGATGAAGTCGTGAACGTCGCATCCGCTGCTCGCTTTGCACGATGGGCCGTCACAATGCCACTGTCAACGGGGTTTATACGAAAAGGCCACCAATGCAATTTGGTAGGGTCCTTACACGGAGTAATCCGCTTCGAAAAGAACCATGGGACAAGTCCGACTATGCCCTACATCTCGGTAATCGAGGCCGTACCGCTGGGTGGGATGGAGTACCCTATCATTCTCCTCGTCGACACATTTCTTGTGAATGCACATTTCACGAAGGAAAAAACACCCAACCTAATCTACAAGGCTATGCGCGACGGCTGGCGCTGTGAGTGACCCCTCGATTTGCGGATAGCACCCATCATGACTGCAATGTACCCAGACATATACATACCGGGTCCGGCTACATGCAGCACGAATAGCGGCGAGGATGAAGGTCACGACGATCGCGAATCGATCCCAGAAGATCATGAACAACAAATCAACTTGGATCGCATCCAGGTCTGGGCAGAGGCAGTGTCGGAGGAAAGACGACACATGGGTCACGTTCCTGCAGTGGAAGGAGGAAGAGCGGTGTTCGGTCACCTTGCTGCCAGCTACGGACCTCCGTCATGGAGCTACAAGTGGCAGCCGCACATAGCTTGTCTAGATATGACAACTATACTAAGCAGTTGCGTGGAGTTTTTTTATACAATGCAATTATGTGTACCACTATGGGTCTTCAGGAGATTCCAAGATGCGAGGAATGACGAGAACTTCGAGAAGAGCCGGAGTCGGAGTCGGGTAATGCTCGCTCAACACTTGCCAAACATCTAGCACAGAGGTTCAATCAATAGTCGGAAGAATGACATTCGCATCAGAGGATTTAAACTCTGCTCAGCAGCGCACTGGCGAGCGCGTACCATGCACATTGCAGTGGGCCCAGGGGCGAGCGAAAATGGGCCTTAGCGGCGAGCGCCAAGGATCTGCGGGGGTCTCCCCCGCATACGATCTACCTAAAAAAACTCAGGTCAAGCCGCCAAATTGATAATGAAATAAAAATAAAATAAAGGGCCCTGCACCAGCGGAAAAGGCAACGCGAGCGAAAGGGGGTCTGGGGAATCCTTCCCCCAGAAGGCATCAGTAGTCAGACTCGCTTAAAGATGGTATCCAGGCCTCGCCCGGCAGGGCAATTAACAGCGAATGCCGATTTTGAGTGAAACCGAGAAGTGGTCGTTGAGTTAGAGACCAAAAGATTATTACTTGATTTGGGTGTGACGTACTGGTACAGCCACTCTGGATGCAGTAATCTGTCACATGTCTGATGGCTCCGGATGAGAAACATTCACTCATTATATTCCTACCTCTATCTGGAGGCCATGCAGCACATAATTACACAGTACAGAGAGAAAATCCATTTTTGGTCGTCCATATAAGGAAATTTGATGTCACGTGGGGGGTGGGGGTCTCCAAGACCTCTGGAAAAAAAAACCGACCCCAGGTAGATTTTTCGCAAATCGGTACCCCCTTGGGCTCGCTCCTGCTCAGCGCCCACGACGGGTCATGCATTACAGATGCGGACCATCCGCCACCGTGCCTTTTGCTGGCTCCTGCGAAATTTGTTACATGCAATGGATTTTCGTACTGAGAAAAAAATTAATTGCGACATTTATGGAATCAAGGCCCAGGCTCGAATCAAACGAGCGTGTTCTGCTTATGAATGACGGATAATCAACTCACATTTTGCAGACGCAGACCATCCGCTACTGAGCCTTTCCTTCGTATACCCAGGAATCCCGTGAGGTAGGTCAAATTTTCACATGTGGAATGTATACAAAAACTGAAGACTCGGAGTACTGTCTTCTGCAGTATGGCCCAGACTCGATTCGAACGAGCGTATTCTGTAGCTCAAATGATAAACTTCGCACATTTTGCAGACGCGGACCATCCGCCACTGTGCCTTGACCTGATACCTAAAAAACTTGTTACTTAGATGCAATGAATTTTCGTACAGAGAGAGCGAAAAAAACCACGACACTGCCATGGAATATGTAAAGGCGCAGGCCCGATTCGAACGAGCGTCTAAGAATGAACCGCCTCAAGTTGTGCAGACTCCGCGGACTATCCACCACTGGGCCTTTCTTTCGTATACCCAGGAATCCCGTGAGGTAATAGGTTAAATTTTCCCATGTGGAATGTACAAAAAAAAAAAGGTATCATCAGCTATGGCCCAGGCTCGAATCGAACGAGCTTCTTCTGCAGGTAAACATGAGTACCACCTCGAGTTTTGCAGACGCGGACCATCCGCTACTGGGCCTTCTTCTCAATCTCGGTAACTCTGATATGAATTCACGCACTCGGGATAAAAAGTCATCGTCACCGTTTGAATCGAACGAGCTTCTTCTGCATGCTAATAACGGACCGTCGCAAGTTGTGCAGACGCGGACCATCCGCCACTGGTCCATTTTCTGGTTGCTGTAAAATTCTTTAGATGTGTTGAATTTGTGTCTCTGGAATAAAAAGTTATCGGACCTCTTTAAGACCAGAATCAGCACCCAGGCTCGAATCGAACGAGCTTCTTCGGCAGCTCAATGATGAGCTTCGCACATTTTGCAGACACGGACCATCCGCCACTGGGTCTTTCTTTCATATACCCAGCAGTTCTGTGAGGTAGGTTGAATTTTCGCATGTATAAAAAAACGAAGAGTACCTATCGTCTAATGGCCCAGGCTCAAATCGAACAAGCTGCTGCAGCTCACTGATGAGCTTCGCACATCTTTCAGACGCGGGCCATCCGCCACTGGACCTTATTCTGGCTCCTACAACATACGTTAGATGTGTTGGATCTGTATATGAATAAAAAAAGCCCAGGATGTCCAAACACGCCCAGGCTCGAATCGAACAAGCTTCTTCTGAAGGTCAATCTGAAAGCTTCAAGTTGTGCAGACGCGGACCATCCGCCACTGGGCCTTCTTGTCAATCTTGGTAACTCTAATAGATAGGTGGGTTGAATTCACGCAATCGGGATAAAAAAGCTACAACTCAATGATGAACTTCGCACAATTTTCAGACGCGGACCATCCGCCACTGGGCCTTGACCTGATACCTAACAACTGGTTAGATGCAATGAATTTTCGTACTGTGGGAAAAAAAATCCCAAACACCGAATAAAGCCCAGGCTCGAATCGAACGAAACTTCTTCTGCAGCTCGATGATGAACTTCAGAGTCGTACATTTTGCAGATGGCTACTGGGTCTTCTTCTTCTCATATACCTAGGAGTACCTCGTATGGATTAATTTCGCACTATAAAAAAACGGCGAGTGGCAGTATATAGAGCCCAAGCTCATTACGAGTACTTATGTTTACATAATACTTGTTTATAGTAGTTTTGTCAAAGTTCGGTTCGGGATATCGGTTCGAACCCGAACCGGACTGAACTGAACGTGAAGTTCAGGTTCAGGTTCGAGAAATCACCGAACCTGAACCCCAAGTTCGGTTCAGGGTTCGGCACAAGCAGAAAATTTCCGAACGCGTTCGAACACGTTTGAACTCCCGAACCGGTATTAAAATTTTGGCCTGAAATTTCCTGATTCACGCTACCAATCAGGCCTAAAGATGTCCCAAATAACCTATAACATTCCCGAGTGTCGTTCTCCTTTTTCACAACGATGCCTGAAGATAACTATGTCCCGTTTTCTAGTTGAATTTACTGCTCGGTACCTCATCTCCAGCTGACAAAGCATTTTACGATACAATTTCTGATGAACAAGGCGTAAATAGTAAGAACACCAAGAGCTTCACAGAATTTGAACAATGAATATCGTTCCCGCCGCCCAAAGAAATTGTAGCCGCCTCAAAAATGTTGTAAATGCATCAAGTGGTACTGATGTGGTCACTTGGTGCCAAGGCAGGTTGAAGGCAGGGTGTGCAAATTTTGGCGGTGACCGCTTCACATTCCTTTTTGACCGGCTTAGATCAATTTATATGACGATATGGACGGCCTTCGATACAAGTGCTGCATCTTTTTTCCCCTTGGGTCTCAAATCTACGGGTGGAGGGGACAAAGTTCGGTTCACGCGTTCGAACGCCGATGAACGCCGAACCGAACGTGGTGAACCTGAACCTGAGGTTCAGGTTCAGGTTCAGGGAAATGCCCGAACCGAACCGAAGTTCAGGTTCAGCGTTCAGAAAAAAAGGTCTCGAACCTGAACCGAACCGAACTTTGACAACACTAGTTTATAGCAGTAAAGTTTTCATTTGTCACCTCGAAAAAATGCTTATGATTTTAGTGGCTGTGTTGAATGGAATTTAGTGGCTATGCTCAGGTTTTGATGGCATCCAATAACCCGCTGTCCGCTGGGCGGTTTTGCGTCGGTTCCAGCAGATCATCCTTATATACAAATCCCCCTGAGTTTGGTACCTTCTTGGGAGGTCTTGAGCTCAATATGGCATTACCGAGCTGCCGATCCACTTTTTGATCCCATCGCGGCTATTGCCGCTTGATCTCTCTTCTTTTATTCAAGATATCGACTCCTTACCATCGTCCGCTGCTTTCTCAACGTGAGTTCTGGCATACAGATAATTCTATTTGAAAACCCGGTTTCCGGGAGGAACCCCTCCAAATGGGGTCTCCATCACCAATGCCGGAGAGCCCTTCCGCAAAACCCCTCGTTTTGATGCATTCCGAGACTTGAAATGATCAAGACGGTGGCTATCCATGGAATGGGCAATAGGAAACTTACCAATGTAATTTGAATCATAAAACCGAAAATTTGTGTCTGAAGCATATATGATATCAAGGATATTTCTTATAGTGTCAGGTAAAATTTATTTGATTCTCCTCCATAAAATAGAATAGATTCCAGACCATTCCAATCCTTTGGATGAGTATAGTGAATGTGCCGAGGTATGTTGGACTTATTTTGATCCCATCAAACATATGTTCGCTATGCATAAACAGTATTAGGCTCGTGACCAGCCGGCCCGGTGAAAACTGATGCCATCGTAAAACTCGACAATAACCGGTACCGGCTGGGCTCCCACGTCGCATGGTTTGGTGATGAGAATTTCCCCCGCCAAATGAGAGGTCGGGACTTGGTAGAAATACGTCGAAAATGCCTAGAAATCCGTCCCAAGGTCCCATAATAAAAGATGGGTTATTTTTGATTCTCTATCGACTGAGCCAAAGTTGTTCTGGGTGAAATAAGCATTTATTTTGTGCTAATGGATGCACTACGCCGTGTATATATAATAAATATGTGTTTGTGAGCTCAGAAGACGTGTGTCCGCTCGAGTGTGGAAGCTGGAAGAGTATTAACGTGAATTGTCGTCTCCTTCCAAATCGGGTTCGCGATGTGGCTGTGATGGTTTTGGCGGCAACTGTGGCGCAGGCGTAGTGTGGGTGCTGGGTAGTGCAGGAGAAGGGGAATATGGGTTAAAGGAAAGATTTGAAGTTGATGGAAATGGACCAACATTAACGCGCTTAGATGAGGGTGATGTGGAGCTTGACATGGATGATGTTCCTGAGTGGTACCTCGACGAGGAGGATAATTCAGAGTCGGATTCGGATGAAGGCGAGGCCTAGATACTCATTGTGCATTTTAATTGTATACACCGTACGCAGTACCCTGAAATCGCACGCTTTTTGCTACAAGTGATTGACGTGGACAGCCACATATTAAGCCCAATTTGGAAACACCATCGAGTATTCATGAATTCCGCAAGACTTTGGGCCGGGGATAATCCCTTTGGAGGCGGATATACCTTAGATATCATAGTTTATCCCCCGCTGTGCTCAACACCAGGAATTTTGTGATTTTGAGGTCAAAACACAACTTCGGCTCAATTGATAGAGAATTGAAAATAACCCGACTTTGATAAGAACACTTCGAGCACTTTTTCTGATGGTTTTCGACGCTTTTTTTCTAAGTTCCGACCTCTTAAATGGCGGGGGAAACGATCATCACTGAAACATGCGACGTGCCGGCCCAGTCCGTCCACGAGGTTACCCTTTGTTGTCATTCCCATCATTATTTGTTCTGATATTGTGTCTATTTGCTCTCTATCCAAATCCGTACCGCCCGTTGTGTCTGTAACCGAGTGGACGTCGACTGGTTTGCGAGTCTAAAACAGTATGGAAACCGGGACGGGACAGCTCACGTTTATTGATTGGCGAGTGATTGGCGAGTGATTGCATCACATGCCGAAGCGGTCCGGCATGCATGACCCCAGACACCACTTCCACAACCATTACAGTGCGTATACACTCAGCTTCACTGGGGCCGGCGCAGCTATGGACATCTATTTCAGTGCGCCAACCTAAATTGAGATCTTCATCATACAGGATCTCTTTGCGAAGCATCGGGCGCAGCCATTTTATTACTCTCTTTGGGGCGGTTTTTGATTGCATTCGCGAGAACGCTCGTTTCGTGCTCAATTCAATTATTACAATAGAAGAAATACTGTAACTGCGAATGGAATGGGAACCTGGTAAATGCAGATGAAAGTAGCTGCAGATACCTCATAAAGGAGTTCTGCGCAAGTCATAAATCTACGGGACACTTTCAAGTTTCAACACTGTTCAAATAGGGAGTCTGCAAAAGTCTGCATTTGGGTTATTGAATTGGAGCAGTTGTAACCGTTTTGTACAAATGTAATGTAATGATTATTTCCGTAAACCTCTTATCACTGGGTATTTCTTGAACTGGTCTATTAATATCCTGGAAGGGACCGAACAGGCCTGGGTTCGAGTCAGGAGGGGTACAGTCTTTGGCTGCCCCATCAGCACACTTCCCTTGTGCGGCAGAGTGTAAGCGCATATCGAAGTATATTATGGCTGCTATCTGATTACGAATATCCAAAGGTCTCATGCAAGTCTCATGTAGTTCAGAAAGTCTACAAATGCCGACTGGGAATGCCGCGTTGCCTGCCCTGGAATGACCTTGTACCTGTTCAATCAGGCGCAGATTATTCCCGCAATTCTTTTACAGTGTCTCTCCTCACAGGTGTTTCCGACTGGGTCATCTCCACGGCAACCTGGCCTAATTTCAAGTTCAATTGATTTAATAAGTTGAAGTTCATTGATTCCTGGTACCGATGTAGGTTACCAGGTCTGAAATCCATAATTCCAGTTCCAAAATCTCTTGATCATACCATTTTTGATGGCAACCACATCTGGCAACCGTAACACTCCGGATCCTGCTTCCTTCTTTTCCCGGTACGGCAAAGTCCTTGATGGATTTCATCGGTTGCAACCCTTGATTGGTCCACCTCTGTTGCTTTCTTCCCTCATCTTGCCCACTTACAAACCTCGCTCG